TCTTCATCATTCATCATCATTTATTCTTCCTTAGAAACTATATCTATAAAAGCTCCTCAAAGGTTGTTTTTATACGCCCACATCTCTCTATGTGGACGTATTTTGTCGGCACCCCCGTCCGCCTGTCAACTTTTGCTTGTAAATGGTCTAAAAACTAGATTTTTTGATGGAATCAAATGAAATTCGGTATGTGCATACATATTCATAAAACGAAGTTCGAATTTGAGCTATTTTTGACCGTTAGAAGTTATTGCCCTTGCCCCAAAATCTTTAATATTTACCATGCCGTGGTGGGCGTTTATGGCTGTGGTCCACTATCTTTAAATTCTGTAGTAACTTTGGATTGTCAGTACCATGAGTCCTATGGTCATTCTGGGTGTATATGATTTAAAGCTATTGTAAAGATGTTTTTGTAAATATTTGCACCATTCCAATTATCAATCAGACGATTGTGTTTGTTGCAATTACTCTAATACTATGTCTTATGACGTCATTATCACAATAGCTCCTATAGAAATTAGAATGGTGTAAATTGATGCTATTAGTGTCACTGATACACATAAAAAGTTAAGAAAACCTTGTTACTTTCCCTTAAACATTACTTAAAATGACAAGTAGGTTATATTTTCATTCATTTGATTTATCAGGTATTTTTCTGTTTAAATTTTAGGATTTACATTCTTGTTATAAAAAATCTACAGTTAAAACTAAAAAATCTAAAGATGGTAAGTATTATGAAATTGTTGATTGAAACTATTAAATTAGATTTTTTCAAACAATAAGATCATTATTTGTTGTGTTGGGTATTTCTTGTGGCGACAGCCAATTTGCAAATTCATGTGGCCTTAAAAATTGATAAAAATGTGCACGCATACTTTAGACAAATTAGAATCTGTAAATTTTTAATTGATGAAGATGCTTCAAGGCGCAAACTTATTGTTAGTCTGTAATTGGCTATGTCAACTTTCAGAATCGGAATTCTCAATGCTGATTTGACAAACTCATTGCTAACGTAGCATCAGGGTAATGTGAGCATATCTTGCGTAGATAGTTTTCCTGTATGAGCCTTAGTTTGAAAATAAAATTTGATATTTTTTTTCCAGAACCAGAATGGATTGAAGTATTAACAGAAGTTATATTATCTCTGATGTCACAGCCTGGCTATTTTCCTAGAGTTATTGCTAGTACAGTCTTCAAACTTTTACACCATCATGTTGCTAGACCGAATATAGTAGAACAGATTACTAATGTAAGTATAGGTCAAGGTTATTAGTGAGGATGAAGTTCACCAGTCAAGGTCAAGGTTAATGAAGACAAAATATGTTCAAAGAAGGTCAAATTTGTGAATAGAGGGTCAAGGCTTCTAATAGAGGTCAAGGATGTTAGTATTGATGGTCCAATACAATCCAATATCCACTTTTTGTCATCGTCAATCACTTGTTTATTTATTAACAGGTGTTGTTTTCGAACCTCGGTGATGATGGGCCCATGAAGTATGAAGATGACGGCAACGAGAGCGATGATGATGATGATGATGATGATAATGATGATGAAAGTTCCATGGACAGTGATGATGATGATGATGATGATAATGAAGAACCAGTCAAAGCCAAGAAACTGAAGAAAGATAAAGATACTGGAAAGGAGGCTAAAAATGGCAAAGGTAATTCTCAAGGTCTCAAGGAAGAGATTAATGGACAAATAAGTACCTATTGTCACTGCCTTCTTGTCAAAATTCCATTGCAGGCATTCATTGAGTGCCATTTTTAGCCTTACTTACTCAAGAAGTGCTAAAAAGTTGGGTTTAAAACTCCAATTTATTTAATTATTTTCTTTTCTAGATAAATTTCATTTCATTATTACTGTTAGAGACAATATTCAATCCATTTCTTTCTGTTGTAGAGAAGTCAAAGAAGCAAGTGGAAAATGAAAGTAGCAAACGGGAAGATGAAGATGATATGGAGGCAGAAGACTTCAACGATGGATTCCGTCAAACTGTTAAAGCTGCTCTAGGCGTTGCAGCTGTTGATTCTGATGAGGAGGTAAGAAAACAAACAAAAACCCCAAAACCTGAGAAACCCAAGTTCTATCGATTCTGAAATATGTTTCAATTTACACGATGTATTTTGAAATATTTATATAATTTCAATTAAAAGTTGAAAATAAAGCTTTAAGCCAAAAAAAATAGAAAGTCAGTTGTAGATTAATTCAATGGTGAACATTTTTAACATGTGATTTATGATAAAGTTAAAAGCAAGGCAACATCCTAAAAAATGGAAATCCTCCCTCAACTAAAATTAATGTAAAATTGACTTTGCAATATTAAAAAAAAACAATATATTGGTGTACACAGGTAGAAAGGAGTTAGTCTTGTTTTCTGAAGCAGGTGCTGACCCCACGAAAACAAAACCAACCTGAATATCTGTTTTTTTCTCTTCAGGGCTCCGATTCCGATCTGAATGACAGCGACATGGAAAAGATGGACGACAAATTGGCGGAGGCGTTTAAAAGTATGCGGAAATCTTCTCGTAAAAAATCTATTCTGGAGGCTGAAAAACAATTTCTATCTTTTAAAACAAGGTAGGTTAGAAAGATAGAAACTTATTTTACAAGTTCAACAACTAGGGCTGGATATCGATTACCAATTAATAATCGATTAATAATCGAAATAATTTAATTGAAAAATTTTTCCTAAATGTGAACTGTAGGCCTAAGATATTGCCCAGAACTCTCCATTAGATTTCTTCTTTACAACTAACCTACTCAAAATAGGTAGGCTAATAGTGTTGTCTGTGAAATTTTTTTTCTTACATACTGCTAGACTTTGCCAGTTTTCATTAGCTCATATAGGTTCAGAAAAGTAGAATATATAACTCATTTCATTTTCAAGTCCTATTATTTATTTCAGAATGATGGATTTGTTACAGATTTTAATTAAAACAGATTGTTCTTGTCAAATATCAGTTGTAAGTAATTGAGAATTTTATAGTTATATTATTCATCCTTAGTTACAATGATGTCCAAAACTGGTTAATGGCAAAACATAAATATCAAGTTTAATTACAAAATAGAAATACAACATCACTGAATACAAATTGACATCACTGAATACAAATTGACGTCACTGAATACAAATTGACGTCACTGATTACAAATTGACGTAACTGAATACAAATTGACATAACTGAATACAAATAAATAGCACTGATTACAAATTGACGTCACTGAATACAAATTGACGCACTGAATACAAATTGACGTCACTGATTACAAATTGACATAACTGAATACAAATAAATAGCACTGATTACAAATTGACGTCACTGAATACAAATTGACGTCACTGATTACAAATTGACATCAGTGAATACAAATAAATCGCACTAAATACAAATTGACATCACTGATTACAAATTTACATAATTGAATACAAATTGACATCATTGAATACAAAATTGACAGAACTGAAATATACAAAACCCCGTTGTTTGAGCTGGTCTGCCGTTCATGTCTTGAAAATACCACCAGATCAAGGATTTTGATAATTATCAACGTCTCTTTGGAGTGGGTCCAAATTAGGTCAAATTATCATTGGCTTGTTGGTATTTATAAACTGTTTGTACCTGGATTTTGAAAATCACTAGGCATTAATTTAACTTATGAAATAAGGTTGGTCAGTGACGGTAGGAAATCCGAATTTGTTGATACCTAAGGGAGCCATGGTTTTGAGCTTGTGGATCCAATGTAGTGCGCTGTTCCCTGTAAGATGGTAGCAAGGAATAAGGAGTAGTTGCCCCTGAAGGATTCAATCAAGAACAAAAGCAGTCCGGCTATACCATACGTAGGAAAGGGTATTTTCGAGGAAGTCATGTCTTCCCTCTAAGCAGGCCTGCAAACCTTTTCGCAACGATGAGGCGAATAGGCCGTGGGCCACGTAACTAACCATCAATGAATCATAGAATTAACAGTGAGAAACATGCAATATTTTCAAGTCATTTATTCAATAACGTATTTCAATGTGCATTGCAAAAAATAAGAAATATTTGAGGTAAAATCAGTATTTCACACGAGGTCGTTAATGATTGATTAGTCAGATTCATTTTGACGTCATACGTTGATATAACAGCTCGGATATATAGGTTTTCCATATCAGAATAGGCAGCGACAATCTGTAGGCCACACCGACAGTGACAACAGCAAACGAAGCATTTGCTCGCGGACCACATTTCCTTCAAATTTTACATGACCCCGCGGGCCGTAGGTTGCACAGGCCTGCAATAAAGTCTATTAATTTAACTAACATGTTTCTCCCAGAATGATCTGAGACTTACTGGTGTGTCATCAAGTTTGTTAATTTGTTCAAATGTTGGCGAATCCTTAGAAAATACACATTGCTTTAGATCTTGCATCATGCATGCCAAGAAAAACTCCATAGTAATATTCCTGTCGTCAATTGTAAACTCTGAAAATTTCAGATATTCACGAAGGGATGTCTTGATTGGTAATTCCTTCACAAAGTTAGATATTATGTTTTCTTTCCTATTTTTTAAAACTTGAATTCTACTCATTTCTTTCAAGGTCAATGGTTGAGAACATTTTGTGATCATCCATTCACGTTTCTTACAATCAGATTGAAAATTTTCTTCCATCTGTGGATCTTTGAGAAGTAAAAGTAACTGTTTTTGTGTGCATGAACCTGATAGAAAGAGAATATCAAACAGATATGTTATATCGTCAAATACATATTTTGTTTCCATTAAAAGGTAGCAAAGCAAACCCGGGTATGTGTCGTGATACGGCAAAGCGTCTGTATAAAGACCATATTTGATCAAAGCTGTGAGCATATTAGCAGAAGCTATAGAATGAAAATCAAACACATAAATTTTTTGAAACTCTTCTAGAATTGGTTTATTTGGGTTGGCATCATTTTCTAGCAACATAATCAGTATTTTTATGGATCGGTGTTGGAAGGCGAACCACAAAGCTGTTTTGTTTTCTCCATCAACAGCGTTCACGTTACATCCTTTCTCAATCAGTGGTTGAACTAGATTCTCAAGATCTTTCTCTGATGCAAGCATGAGAGTAGTTTTACCCGAGAGATTGACGAAATTTACGTCACTGCCGTGATTTATTAGTTTCATGGCAATTTCTGTTTTGACCAATTTGTCCTCAACTTACACTCTCAATTGCTCGGACTAATGGTGTCTTCTGCTCCCAATCTACAATGTTCACATCAGCTTTATTAGCAAGTAAACATTCTATGGCTTGCATATTTGGTTTTTGAGATTTCACTGCAATATGGAGGCATGTATCAAAATACTGATTGAAAAAATTGACCTCGGCTCCGACCTTGATTAGCATCTCAACCATATCATAGTTGTTGTTTTTTACGGCCCACATTAATGGTGTAAATTGTTTTAAGTCCTTGACGTTCACTTTTGCTCCGTTTGAAAGTAACAATTCTAGAATACAGGTGTTTGGTGATGAGGACTTCACCGCGATATCCAGGCACCATTCTCCCCTGTTATTATAGACATTAATATCAGCACCAGCCTTGATCAACCTCTCAACCATCTCAACTTGCCCGTGTTTTACTGCCCACATTAGGGGAGAAAAGCCTCGATATCTGTGAGGTTCACGTCTGCCTTTGCCTCAAGCAATAAATCCAGAAAATTGATCCAATCATCTTTTCGCTTCGGTTTTCGAAAGCGACCTTTGACTATCAGATGTAAAGCTGTTTCCTTATTTTTGTTTTGTATATTTACATCAGAACCCTTTCCGATTAAACGCTTCGTCACTTCAAAAAGGCGTTTTCGTAAAGCATACATCAAGGGAGAGAACCCATGAATATCTGTTTTGTCTACATCTGTATTATTTTCGATCAGAGTCAGAGCTCGTTCGACGTCTTTTTCAAAAATGCAACGAAACAGTTCTGTATGTCCATACTGACTTGTAGTAACAAGTGACATCCTTCTAACAAATCAGGGAAACTGATTTAAAAAACTGGTGAAATTACTGCCTTGCTGGATCGGTTAACCAAGTTCTCATATTTGTTGTTTACCAATTTCTGGAAAAAAATAGACATAACTCTTAGTTTAAGATGAAATGTGGGTTGAAAAATCTATTTCTGCAACTAATGAATGGATTTCAATGAAACTTGGCATACATTAACAACTGGGCAATAACAGTTTATGTGCAAAAAATCAAAGAATTCATTTGGGAGTGGATGGGGGAGGAGTTATTGCAATGTACATGTGGCCACCTTGAGTGAACTGTACCTTGTTCGAGGCAAGTTTTTTGGAAAAAGTGATCACTACAGTACCAAGATGTTGGTATATTTCTGTTTGTAATAAGGCCTTATGCAGATTTTATCTACAAATGAATGCAAGAGGCTGATATTTCTAGGCCTAAGTCTTCAATTTTAAAATTTCTGGACAGAAATCGAGAATAAGATCAATTTCTATATACTAATGCAAGGTGTCAATTTCAGGCCAAAGCAGAATTTTGGGTCGAAAGTGACGAAAGGGACAAACATTTTCATAAACTATTGGACTATAAATAAATCAGGTCTGTACCTACAGGGAGAGGGGGTAGGGTAGTTCCACACCAACTTTCCCCTCCGGATATAGTAGTTGTCCCCCCTCCCCACAAACTACAAACAAACTTAAAGTTAGAAACTGGAAGTCTTCATTTCATATGATTACTAATAACAGACTTACCAGTGTTAGATTACTAATAACAGACTTATCTATGTTAGATTACTAATAACAGACTTACCTGTGTTAGATTACTAATAACAGACTTACCTGTGTTAGATTACTAATAACAGACATACCATTGTTAGATTACTAATAACAGATTTACCAGTGTTAGATTACTAATAACAGATTTACCAGTGTTAGATTACTAATAACAGACTTACTTGTGTTAGATTACTAATAACAGACTTACCTGTGTTAGATTACTTGTATAAGAATTTCAAAGATATTTTTTAACCTGTATAAGAAATTCAACTTTTTCTCTCTAAGATACAAAAGAAAAAAGACGTGTAGTTTTGACCACATACAAAGTGAGTGATTTGATGGGAAAAACCTACTTTCACTTTTGAATGTCACTGTAACCTGAATAATCAACATCAGTATAGCAACTTGACTGTATACCAAACAGTATAGTGTTATTCTCTATACACTCAATGTTGAACTAATCTTATTGATTAATGGGACAAGGGATAGACGTTCTATTCTATAAATAAATTCAAGGAAATTATCTTGCTTTACAACTATTGAATTCTCAAATTCAAAATGTTACAAAATTTAGAATATTGAGTGTTATTTTAATTGGAATAAACATTTTTATACGCCCACATGTAAGTATGGGCGTATATTGTGGTTGCCCCTGTCGTCCGTTCACATTTACCTCGTGCTCACTCTACAGACTACAATTCTCTATAGATTCTTTTGATCTTTTGTATGTGTGTCAATATCATTATGAAGATGTGCACTATTGAATTTGGTGATGATCCAATGATTTTCTTTAGAGATATCACATAAAACTCTGATTTCGACAACGTGTAGTGGCCATGTCAATCAAACTCAATGATAAAAGTAGTTTGCTTAGGGGCAGAACTTATATTTACATTCTGTTTACACAGATATAAACCGAATGCATGTGACTGCTGTTATCCAATCAAATTGCATGATACTGTGTAAACGGAATTAATAATTAATATAATATCCATATATATGCGTTTCTAAAGATGAATGTTGATATGATTTGGTGTGTTGTATATTTCAGAGTCTAGTTCTACCATTGTTAAAGGTTATGAATAAAGCTGAAAAAAAACGCGGACAGAATGAGTTGTTTATTAGAGCCAGAAAAACATTTGAGATGTTATATAAACAGAAAAATGTAAGTCTGTACTTCAATTAAGATATTGTTTATCAAAAGGAGAGATTGGCTATGATGTCATAGAGGTGGTTTGTGTATCACATGATGCACAACTTTAACAGTTGTAAGTGTGGTTTGTCCAACCAATTGTCTTACTCATGTCATGCAAGTGTTCTATTTTTAGCTATACGGCTAAGTTGATTTCTTCTAATGCTTGTTTGATGGCTTCTTTTCTGAATATTGTTTTTCTGTTTTATGGATTATTTTCAATGTTTTATTTTAGATTAAAGACATAGAAAAAGTGAATAAAGATGAAATTTATAATGTTTTAGAAGAATTGGTTCAATTTAGTACAAAAGGTAAGGGTTAATATAACTTTAAAGGGATATGTTCGTTGAAATGTTCGTATTTCCAGCTGATAGACCTTATAGTTGCAGCTATCTGTATAGCCATCTAAATATTTACTTTACATTACCAGCTACTATAGCTTAATATTAGCTATCTTTATAGTATAACACAGAATATAGTGGACACCTTGTAAAGATAGAGGAAATTCAGTTCAAAGCTTAAGCTTAAAATTTGCCTCTATTCCAAAACAAGTACCATATAGAAGTTTACCTAAAATATTATACCCCATGTGTAACAGGCTGTGGTCATTAAAGGCCTCTCGAAAGTTGGAAATCGAAGAAAAATAGGCTTATGTCACTGTCTTGGCAAAATGTCCCTCATTGCACACTGCATGGCATTGTCCGTCTTCATTAGCCCACATGGTGTAGAAGAGTAGGACATAAAACTTTAATTCATTTCATTTCATTTATTAGTAATATTTTTATTTTATTACAGTAACCAATGTTCAAATAGTAGGGGAACTATCTAATGGAGTTTTATATTTGGTAAGTTGAAATTAACCTCATGAAACGACCATCTTGTATTGAATTTCTTGTAGTTATTTGATATTTTTCTGCGCTGTGCTTCTAATTACCAACTCATCAAGGTAACAATAAATTAGATAGAACCAGAGCTTCAATAAAAGTGAAGTAACTCTTGTAAGAAAGGGATGAATCCAGACCACAATATGACAATATTGCCTTCAAAATCTATTTTCTATCCTGACTTAATGATTTTTTTTTTTCAGTTAAAGTTATTACTACATGACGAATCTGATTTGAAAACTAAAAATAAAGTTCAGAATTTTCTCCAACAAAATCTCTCCTGGTTTCTTTATAATAAGAAGTAAGTGATTTCTGATTTTTAGGGAGTTGTGAAAGCTCAGCAAGTTAGGCACTACTTTGTGTACCAGTGTTTCATTCAGACATAGTTCAAGAGAATACCTAAGATGTTTCAATATCATCTGTAATTGCAGACTTGGAATAGAAGACTTGTATGCTGTAGAAGTTGGATCAATGCTACTATTCTGACAATATTTTCTCTCATTTCTTTCCATGCAATCCTTCTAAGATCATTCTAGAAAAATCTCATTTATTCCTGGTAATTATAGATAGAAACATTTGTGTATTGTTTTATTTTGTAGAGAGTACAGATTCCATCCAGCTTTTTTTAACAACATGTTTGAAAGATTCCCAGTAAGATTTTCTATTTATTTTCTATCAGATTTTTCCTATATTTTTATATATTTGAGATGAATAAACAAAAATATGTTGTGTGGCATTTCGGTTGGATTGCAAGTACTTGATTTGTTTATTTTCATCAAATAATTAACTTGATATGTTAAAATATTAGTAGAAAGTAAAAGTAGCTTTTTTTTCTATTTATAGAAATTATTCTGGCCAATGAACACGACACTACTGGATGTTTTAAGTAATGACAGAATCAAGGTTTATAACAAGGTAAGATAAAGTTGATTGTTTTTGTCCAGTGGTCTCCTATAACATCTTGTTCAATCAGAACTTCATGGGTCTTTAGTGAAAATGGATAGTGAAAATTAGTAGCTGTTTAAAGGTGTTCAGTCAACTTGTCTACATGTCAATTTTTCAACAAACTGAGTTATCTCGTCTATAACATCGAGTTAACTCGTCAACAACCCTGAGTTAAGTTGTCAACAACCTCGAGTTATCTCGTCTTCACAAACATTTGTTAAAGTTTCCCCTCTTTACGTCAGCCATTGCTGACTACTATAAGAAGATTGTTGGAAAGTTAAAAAGTACTTATTCTACTTGGAAAGGTGTTTCCGTCTCAATAAACTCAAAAAAATGCTGGAGAACTTCATTCAGTTGACAAACACAGTTGTAAAGTAACCCTAGGTTAACATACTGAAATGTATGGTTCTTTTTAAAGTGCCAAGATTTATACATCCATTAGATATATAAATTTTTATTGTATTTCAGACTTTAGCCTGTGGATTCATGTCAACTTTACTTCAGAAAAAATCAGTAGGTTTCTTTTTTTTCATTTACAAATAACAGGTTATTTTTCATGTTCTTGTTTAGAGAGATCACTGTATTTACATGTCATGTTTTCAGACCACAATATCTGAAATTTACAGATTTTCTTTTTTCAAATATAAGAGAGTATGACTAATGTATGGAGATGTAAAAGCTATCTTCTTCCTATGTCAAGGGAGACCACTCTATTTAATTATGATATTTTCAGACCACAATATATCTAACATTATTTTTACCTATTACAGTGCTGTGAATTGAAGAATGAAGAATGGACTAAGTTTGAGAATCAGATTCTTCCAGTGTTGAAAAAGGTGAGAAAAAAGGGTCATCTTTGTTTTCTCCTGCAGAAGCAATTCAGCTTACTTGCTTGAAATTATTTTAAATCTGTATTGGGGACTTTATAGCTTCTATAAGCATCATTTCAATCCTCCATCCAATGTCTGTAGTTAATGTAAGTCCAGAAAAAGTTGATCAGAATAGGATGCTACCGGCCCCAGGCTATTGGCCTTCTCCCTTTGTTAGAAATTTTACCATCATTTCCAATAAAACTGTCGTAGTGAGGATTGCTTACCACATATCAGCATATGTCTAAATTCCAACCTTTAGATTGATTCAATATTTTTCATTTTCTCAACTACTTCAAGACTAAGGTATGCAGCACTCTTACCTTGGTTAAAGTCGAACTTTTCAAAGTTAGGATTAAGGCTTTCATTTTCTACATTTGAGCAAGACTTTCGTAAAGATCGACCGGTGCATACCTAAAGTTCGACTGAAGTCTAACTTTAGTCAAAGTTTAGGTAAAGTACGAGCGCTGCATATGGCCCTAAGTACAATTATCTATAATAGGAGTTGAAATAATTTTAAAATTCACAAATTCTGATCATTTATTTGAGTTTGAATTATTCTATTGACTATTCTGTTTTTCAGTTTTTGTTATCATTTGATGTTAAAGAAAATTATAAACCAAAGTTTTTAGAAGAAATTTTGAATATTTTAACAAAAATGATCCACATTTCTCCTCCCACAGTAAAATCAGTAAGTAGATTTTAAGACTACAGACAACAAAGTATGAAAATATTAAATCGTTCAATGGAGTTGTCTCTCTTTATTTATATATTTTTTAAATTTTTGAAAATCAACCTACTCTTGAAAGCACTAACAGTGAAAACAAAGTTTTCAAGTTTGACAGGATTTTTAGCCCCCTATTAGTTATTGACTGAACTTAGCAGGAGGATTTGAACTCATGGCACTGGTATGTTCACCACATGACAATCTTGCTTTTATCACAGACTATTTGTTCCTGGTTTATAACTTAGTTATTCATTAGACAGTATATCTTTCTAGGAACTTGGTGAAGATATCAACGATAAATTATCCAGTCTCAAACCTAATTTTAGTACCAACACACGTCATGCCTTCAACAGATATAAGGCGTTATTTCTTGCTAGTGCTGGGAAAAGGTAGGTTTAGTAGTTTAATATGAAATAATGAATATTTAGAACTTTTATATTCCATTTGAGTAATAAATACTGAAAGAAGTCAAGTGTAGCTACAATTACTATCATGGGTCCAGAGTATTGAAAAACCCCATCCCCACAGATAACTGACAAAAATCATCTCAAAGTTTTTATCATGTTTTTGCAAACCTTCAATTCCCTAGTTTATTATCAAAATTCTTTCAGATCCAAACGAATGGAAAGACAACTCAGTCAAGATATTAAAACAGAGCAAATTAAAAATGGTGACAAAATTCAGGAAAATGGAGAATCATTGTCAGAAGATGAAGTAAAACAAAAATCTCCTAAATCTATGAAAAAAGTCCAGAAAGATGCAGAAATTGAGGAGAATATGGACTCAGAGGAGGAAGTTGTAGAAACCACGAAAAAAGGGAAAAAACCCAAAAAGGATAAGAAGCGAAAATCTGATGAAGGTTTAAATGGAGAAGTTTCGCCCATTGAAGACAAAAAACAGAAACTGTCAAAATCTTTTCATTTTGAAAATTTGGAGTCCGAAGAAAATTCGGGGAAGAAATCAAAAAAGAAGGAACGCAAGAGAAAAATTTCTTTATAAGGACTGTTTGAATAAGTTTGAATACTGTACTGTATGCGTGTATGAAGCGTAATAAGAGGTGTGTGTTATATTCACAATTATATAGTACTTGTACTTCAAATTAGAATTTTGATGACCATCACTGCCAGCAGGACCTTGAGATTTCTCTGGAATCCTAATTGTTCAGAACTGTGCATTTGGACAAATCAGATCCGTGAAAAAATCAATAAATATATTCATGAATTAATTCAGTTTACCATCTAATCATATGAATTAATATTTCAATTTTATATATATAACAAAAAAATTGGTAAATTTTACCCTGATATGAAATTTGGTTGCAAGAAGGACAGAGTAATCCTGGGAAAAAACTCTTATCAAATTTGATAATATTCTGTGAACTCTCTGAAGTGGAGAGTTGATTATCTCAATTGTAAAATGTTATCAAGAAATAAAATAGTGTAATATAGATGCTTATCATATTTTTTCTGCCCCCCCATGATGTTTACTAAATTGTTCTATAAATAAACCAAGTACTAACGCTCCGTAGTGCAAAACAAAACTCAAAATCCGTAACAACATATTGGCAAAATATTGATATCAGCTAATGAACTTTTCACATGAGGAAGTATATCAATCATAGTGAGTATTTCATAATGAAAAGTGGTATCAGGTGTCTAAATGAGTAGGCATACCCTTTCTGGCACCACACTCGTCATAGCATTGTAGTTAAATTTGACTGATAATTGTCTAAAATGTTTGGCTGTAATTCAACTATTCGTTGAATTCTGCTCCTTATAAATTGGCCAAGGAGTCATTTAAAAAACTTAGGCCTTTCTCTCAGCGGTTAAGTCAACTGCAAAAACAGCAACAACATGAAAAAAAGTAAATCACAAATCTAAGAAAGAAATCTCCTTTAATTTATTGAAGTTATTATAAAATGAATATATTCTCTTGATTACTTGAACAAAATGAAAAAATAAAAATTTACAAAAATGCATCAACAAGGAATATATATTGAAGATAAAAAAGAAAGAAAGAACTATATATAACAAGGATAACAACTTCGGTCCACAAAGGATCCTTATACCAGCAGGTCCTTGGCCAAACCTCTTGGCATTGATCTTTCCCAGATTATCCGTCCAAACCTCATTGATCTATCCCGGATTATCTGTATCCATTTACAGCCCGGTCAATTGGAATTAAGAGTGAATATAATATAACTCATTCTTTCATGAACCGCTATAACCCACATGCCGATCAGAACCCATAGATCATAACCATGGAAATGACGTCATGTAAAGAACCAACGCTGTAACAGACTGTTATAGAAGCTCATAATTTAATATAATGTGGAGAATTGAAAATTTTCTAATAAAGATGTGTGAGGCTGTGTTCATACAACAACCTTTTCAAGTTTCAATTAAAATTTCATCTTATATTTGGCACGTGAGAGGCACAGAGTATGAAAGCATAAGATCAACACGAATAAATCAACTGTCAATCTTATTTGTTTAGTAAATACTAATAGGCACATGAGAGAACATTGTATGAACACAGTTTTGGGGAGCGTTCACACTACAAGCTGAACACAGTGACACGGAGAAGAGCAGTTAGTAGCAACATTATTGTCCAGTCAGTTTTCAAGTTTTTCTTATTTTCTATTTTGAAGCTGATATTTCAATTCATGTAAAAAAATAATAGGCCAAATGTGATTGGGAAATGAAAATTGACAGACAGTAGACTTGCCCTGAACCAAAGTCTTGATTTACCCTTATAGCCTTAAAATAATAGAGTTAACTTAAAATAAACAAATGCAGCATTTCAATCATATTGCTTCAAATCTTTTACCTTAGGAATCTTTGCCTACAGCCCACAATCATGTAGTAGGTAGCAGACAACAATACAACTCGCTACCTTAAGTGGCTCTTCCACTACAGTGATCACTAGTTGTGTATGATTACGAATAAGAATACCGATCATAAGTTTTAAACGTAACTTTCATGCTACTGAGTTGTGAATTGCGTTCGGAACTCATGGCCACTTCTATTACAGTCAACAATACACAACTGGTAATCACAATGTTTTGAGAGAATCTTTACAAACTATTCTACCTATGTTTTTCTAGTATATACCTGGTATGGTAAAATATTGTACCAAGTTGTATCACAATGTATTCATTCAACCATATATTGTGCCATATTATTGACTTGAATTGATCTGAATTAAATATCAATATTAAAACATCTCTAGCAAGAAAACAATAAAATAATTTAAAACAGGATTCCAATTAAAATAAAGTTCTAAAATATACATTCATTAAACACACTGGCTATTTGCACCGTCACAATGTTTGTTCTCAATGGCTGCTAACAATGGTATGGATAAGATAGCACAAAATAGGCACGCTAATTTTCGGTTTTCATAAAGCGTGAAGCCATTTTGATTGTCAAGAATGATATTAAGTGACTTTGTTAGGGTTAGGTAGGGATGGCCATATGTTTTTTAATACCCATTTTGTACGATCGCGGTGCAAATAGCCAGGACCGTCATTAAAAGACAAAATATTGAGCATCAAATAGGAAGCGTACAAAAACCAACATATTTTAAAAAATATATCATTCAAAAACAAAACATCTTTCAAACATTTCTTCATTTTATAATATTAGATAAACATTTATTCAGCAGTATTTAATGGAACCTGCCATTCTTAATCAACCCCTCTCCCAATCACCCCCCTTCACCCCCCACACAATGATAAGTCACCCCCTGCCCTCTCAATACTAAGTCAACGCCCCTAAGCACTTAAACCCTTCCCTATCACTTAAATGTGCGCATTTAAAATGTCAATTCTAAGAGTTAAAAACGTCACAAAATTGTATTTTTTACGACCTATCACACTGTCCCTGAAGTCCTTCTTTTGCCCCATCACTACCCCGCCCCCCCTCCATTCTCTTAACCCATTAAGTGAGCCCCAAAAATGCCAATTTTAAAAGCTTAAAAATAACTACAGGAGAAATCAGAACTTTTATAGCGACTCCACCTAACTTAAACAGCCCCATTCCTATTCACTTACAGCCTCCCCCTCTCTGTCCCCTTACCCTCAAAATTCCCCACCCTACCCAATTAAATGTTCTTTTCTTTAATAAAATACTCTAGAACAATTACTAAGATTTATCTGAAGAATTTGATAATTCGGAAATTGTGTCATCTTGAATATCTAGGTCATGAACGTCCGGTTCTAAAATTTCTATTAAATAAAATAATTTTTTTCCTCGTGTCCAGCTGTAGGTATTATCAAATCGTACGACATCTGAAATGAGAGGTGGAAAAAAACAGCATAAAATTTGCTGGAGTTAATGCGTTTAAAACATTACATCATTGCAGTAAAATAATTTGCTAATTTCCGTCAAACAAAATTTGGTTGTAGATTTTAAGCTTAGATAAAACTAAAAACATCTTTATTCACAGATCATTCGAGAAATGGTTGTTTCTGAAAACTTCGACATCGCCTTGGAAACCGTGCGTTTTAGAATTGGGACATAATGTAATGTAATAAAAGGAATCAAACTTACAAGTGCCAGTTTCTTTACAAGTAAAACTACCGTCCTCTGGTACAAGATGACTGTTAACTCGTTCTGAAGCCATTACTGCCGCCATATCTCCAGCACTCTGACGCTTATTTCTTGTTCTACGATAAATTCCAAATCCTAAATCAAACCCATCTGTTTTAAACTGGTATCTGGGGAAAAATTGAATAAAAAATTATTACAGAGAGTTCCAAATAAACAATGAAAAGCAAGAAAACCTCTTTCAAATCTCTTGTTGAATTTGAGCAATAGCTGAGTTATATAAGCACAAAACTGGTTTCTTTTCTTTCTTGTGGTACTTTATAAAATAACATTCTATCAATCCCAAATTTCTATTGCAAGAATATTTAAAAAAACTAGGGGCTTGGATTATCAATTAACAATCTCACCTTATAACTGAGCGTTTGACGGTGATTTCGTAATCTAACTGTAGTGATGACCCGCGTCCAATATCAACCTGCGTGAACCCGTCTAGATCATTCAATACATTACAAAAATAACTAGAAGGTATGTCTCCACCCAGGTTTATCTATAATAAAAGATTTTAACGACATCTAGAAGTAGAGAGCACATAAAACAAAAAAACACAAAGGAATGAAGTCATTTCATCTGATTATAACACTTGTGTTGAAATTTCACGATTTGTGTGTCTTGATTGTTGGCAAGTAAAATATCTGTAGAGGCAATGGGGTGTGGTGTTTAGTTGCATTAATGATATGGGTCAGTCATCTGATTTTTTTGGGGGGCAAAGCATTTTTTCTATAGACATTGAATACCGACCCCACCCCCCCTTTTATCCTTGTAACTCATTCTTCAAAATAACTCACCAGAGAGGGACATTTAGGGTTTCCGTCTGGGTCTGTTTTGGTTCCTCCCCAATAAACAGGAAGTTGGTCTGGGTCGATATATTTTAATAAAACTTGTTTATAATCAGCTGAAAAATGATAAAGTTTTATATCCTACTGTTCTGTATCTTATTGGACTAATGAAATGGAGTTTTATATCCTACTGTTCTGTATCTTATTGGACTAATGAAATGAAATGGAGTTTTATATCCTACTGTTCTGTATCTTATTGTACTAATGAAATGGAGTTTTATATCCTACTGTTCTGTATCTTATTGTACTAATGAAATGGAGTTTTATATCCTACTGTTCTGTATCTTATTGGACTAATGAAATCAAATGTAGTTTTATATCCTACTGTTCTGTATCTTATTGTACTAATGAAATGGAGTTTTATATCCTACTGTTCTGTATCTTATTGAACTAATGAAATGAAATGTAGTTTTACATCCAACTGTTCTGTATCTTATTGGACTAATGAAATGAAATGTAGTTTTATATCCTACTGTTCTGTATCTTATTGTACTAATGAAATGGAGTTTTATATCCTACTGTTCTGTATCTTATTGGACTAATGAAATCAAATGTAGTTTTATATCCTACTGTTCTGTATCTTATTGTACTAATGAAACAGAGTTTTATATCCTACTGTTCTGTATCTTATTGGACTAATGAAATGAAATGGAGTTTTACATCCAACTGTTCTGTATCTTATTGGACTAATGAAATGAAATGTAGTTTTATATCCTACTGTTCTGTATCTTATTGAACTAATGACATGAAATGGAGTTTTACATCCAACTGTTCTGTATCTACTAGCTGTACTTACCTCCCAGCACATGTACCTTTTTAATGGTATTTTCGTTTAAAAATGGTCGGGCAAGATTATAAATTATAGGAAATATTCTAGGAGCTGCAAAATAAAGAGAAAAGATTCTGAATCATTTAAAACTAAATTACTACCATGCATTTTTGGGGAAAGCACAAATAAATTCTAAGCTATGTGGACTCTCTGGTTGGAATTTTGAGATAAAAAACAATGAGCATGATCAGCCACGTGTACTCTCACAATAATAAACTCAAATACAAATCATTATAAGCTATGTGGACACTCTGAATGGGATGTTGAGTTAATAAACTCAAATACAAATCATTATAAGCTATGTGGACACTCTGAATGGGATGTTGAGTTAATAAACTCAAATACAAATCATTATTAGCTATGTGAACTCTCTGAAAGCAATGCCAAGTTAATAAACTCAAATACAAATCATTATTAGCTATGTGAACTCTCTGAAAGCAATGCCAAGTTAATAAACTCAAATACAAATCATTACTAACTATGTGAACTCTCTGAAAGAATATAGATACTTACCATTGATAGCGAAACTGATTTTAAGAGTTTCAGGATAGTGTTCTTCAAACATGGCTAATATACTATTCATCATATCCATACCTAGAGATGACAACACAAATAATAAAAGAGAGTTATCCCCCTTAAGATACTCTGTGATATATAGAGAGACATATATAGAAATAGTCAGTAAAATTCCTAGTTTGAAATATTTTGAAAGTAATTATGCATTTTTTGTACATTTCTACTACTTCTGAAGACTATTTACATATATTCAAGACTAAACTCAACCCCCAAAATATATTGCATCTGTCCCTAATAGACGAGGTACGTTTTGTACAGAGTAAACAGTTGAAAATAGAAGAAGTGAACACAAGAGGTACGGGTCTGGGCACGGATTCGCTTCTACTATTTTCTACTGTATCAATAATCACGCACCGTACACTGTACATCATCTATTTCCTGTTTTTAGATTTATAAAGAATAATAAACATAGTGCAAAGGAGTATTTTGTCTGCAAGATTTTTCTTCAAGTACAAGATTTTATAAAAATTTAGGGTGATGTTAAATCTTACCTGGTTTCCACAGATGTTTCATGCCCATTTTCTCTAGATCTATAATAACTACTAACCCTTCTACACGTCTTTCTGGCTGAAAATAAACACAATAAACTTCATTGTTTAATTTACCTTGATAGGCAAGACCTGGGCAGACGACTGAGAACTGACAACGATTACATGTATCAATGTGAAAAAAAACAAGTTGAGGCCATTGAGATTTGTTTTTATACTCAGTTTATAATTTCTGTCATTTCAATCATGGTGGTGGCACCAAATAGGAGGCAGACTGACAATAGTGGGGGGCAAATGTTGTGGATGAGATTTCAAATCAATCCAATTTCTAAATTTATTTGGGAGGAGGAGGAGGGGGAGGGAGGGCTGGTGGGTACAAATTGGGTGCAACTGACTAGTGGGGGACAAGTGTTGGGGATAAGATTTCAAATGTTAAGGCCCCACATGCACCAAAACTCTCATGGAATGAATCCCAAGTAAATGCTATGAATATCCACTTTCTAAATCTGTTTGTTATTCAATATGGTACTTACTGTCGATTCCTCTGTAAAAATATTGTTGATTCTTTCTAATAGATGAACTTTACTTTTTAAAATATCTTGTTTCTTAGCTGAACATAACATTCCTTGAAATTCAAATTTTGAAATAAGAATTACATTTATATCTTTCATTTACACTCTTCTGTTCACTGTTTCATGACTGTGGGCCCATAATATCAAAACTTGATCCAAAATAAAGTCGCAAAAACTCCATTGGCTCGAATGGCATTTGTGGACATATCTAAAGCCTCGCATTGAATGAACAGGTTGGAGCTATTGTCGTCTGTCATCCATTGCAAGAAATCACGTCATACACTACAATAACGTCATTGGGGTTGTCTGTTGTCAAGGCTAAATAGACTACGTCTCGTGGTTAGAATTCGAACACAACAATAGCCTGAATAAAGATGGTGTGACAGAATTTCATTGAGTGCATTTTATCTCTGGATCCATGCCATCCCGGAAAAACTCAGCCCCCCAGCCCCTCCTCATCCCCTTCCCTCCCCCAGAGAAAATTCTTACCCCTGATGTCCAGATCTCCGAAGGTATCAATCCATATAGGACACCCCTCTTTATCTCGCCCACAAATACCACCCACAAAATATTTCTCTATCACTTCTGGTACTTTATAATCTTCTAAAATCGTATCAACATTGTTATCATTTCTCCAAGCAGCATCCTAAAATATCAAAATTAGATAGAGAACTGTGAACACTATTACTGATTGGCTTAGCTAACAAAAAATATATATGTATATTGCAGCCATGCATGACTATATCACATAATTAAAGTGATGCAGCCATATAATAATACATCATATAATAATAATTAAACTAATTGAGCTGAATCAATTCTATTATCGATTTTTAATTAGGGTCCATAAATAGGTACAGGATAATTAGACATATGAATTAATTCAAAACAGCCCACAACACGTGGTACACATTGGCGAAGCCAAAGGGGGAGGCAGAGGGGTTCCCCGCCCCCCCCTCGCAGCCCAAACTTATATAACTTGGTTAGAAATTCAGGGAACCTCAGGTATTTTGGCCCCCCCTTGGATGTAAACCTGGCTCCGCCACTGCTGGTACAATGGGCATCAGTTCATACCATATTATTATTTAATTTGAGTTTCATTCCTTTACTTGAATCTCATTTCAGTCTTTAGGACTCAGCTTCTAGTTATAACTTGAAATTTAAATATACATTTCCAGTGTTATTGCAAATACAGTGCGCATTTTTTGTCGATGTCAAATATGCATCCCCCCAGTTTGACTTAGCCCATTTGTAGGATTAAAAAATTTTGACTTATATACGCAAATATACAGTTATAAATTTTATAATATTTAAATTTTCTACTTACATTTCTAATTGCCGCCTCTGCCTTCTGTAAATCAAAATCTCTAGCTGAAAAATTCAAAATATGTTTTACCTAGCCACTGCATTTTAATAAAAGATTGCAGAATTATTCTTCCCTGAATTAGTCTATGACATCAGGTGTCTATGGTTCCTGCAATTCCACTGAAACTATGCATTTTATGACTTCACTATCGCAAAGATCCTTATATATCAATAGCAGCTTTTGCAATAATGACGTCATTAAATGCCCACTTTTAGTGGAATTGCAGAAACCACAGACATTCTGTTAAGATATTGGAATGGTGCAAACTGATGTGAATGATACATATAAAAAAATTCAGAAAACTTCTTTACAATCTCTTTAATACTACCCTAATTGTAGCAGACTTTCATTACATAGTTTGAAAATCAAAAGACATCATGAATATTCAATAAGAAAATAGGACATCCTAGCGCTAAGATCGTTTCGAGGATACGTGGCCAGGTTTACCTACCAAAGCAAAACAAGGTTGTAAATTGAAATACGTAACAGATTAGGACATGATGAAGAGATGATCCAGGGAAAGATAAAACTGACTTACCTCTCAGCCATTTTGTCAGATGATAATCATCATGATTAGGTTTCAAAATATCCTTAACATTCTCTTTAAACTACAAAAATAGACAGGAATCAGGTTAAGTGGGGGCTCTCAATACTGTTAAGGTTATAGCAGGATTATATATGAATTATAGATTTCTTTATTGGGGGTTCTCACTACTGTTCAATGAGGAAATAACAGATATGTAAACATATATAGCATCTGATTATGGGGGTTTCTCACTGATATAAACTTACAATAAGAAAATAATAGGCCTTAAATGTCAAAGAGTGTAAATTGAAGGATCATTATTGAGGAAACAATGAAGTTGTCATAAAATTTTCATTATTTGTTTTTTCTCAGTAAAAATGACAGTATTTATTAAATGAGATCTACCCAGGAGGAGAAAAAGACTGGTATTTTATTTTAAAGTCCAATGTAGAAAATATATAAAAAATGTAGCCTAAATGAAAATAAAACTGCTGTCATAATCTTGATAGCATGATAATGATATTATAAATTTCAACCAGAAGCCAAAGGGAATGATTGCTAAATATTCTTTTGAAATGAAGCTAATATTATGTCCAATTCAGTAATAAACGACTAATTCTCTTTAATCTCAGCTAACTAGAAAGTCTAAGGTCCATTTATCTGACCATAGTTGTGTCACTTGTCATACCATTATTGCCTTTGGATTTTTATTGACACAAACACGACATCCACCCACCTTTCCCAAAATGTCTGCTTGTTTTGGACTCAAATCTCCAACTGTCCCGCTCATATTAAGATTTCCAAGTTATTCCAATCAGTTCAAGTCATTCAGATTCTTTATACTTTCATTCCACGAGTTTCATTTCATAAATAATTTCCACCACTTCCACTCGACGTTGTGCACTGTTTGTTTATTTATTCCTGAGGATATCCCTAGACTCGTTCTGACATTGATGACGTCAAAGGGGAATCCCTGATGTTCTAAATTTAGCTCAATAAGATATCTTTAAAGGGTTATGGCACAAATATATCATTTTTTAAACTTTTTAACGAAGAAAGAACTAAAACATCCTTGCGTGATCTGTTTTCGCACAATTTCAAAGATTAGACTTCGGATGGGACATTAAACAGGGATCATTTTGTGTTTTTAACCTATCCTCACCACGGTGCCATTAGTCATGAAAGGAGTAGAGCTAGGCCCTACTGCCAATTTATTTCGACATTCAGCAAGAGGTCATTTTGAACATCGAAAAGATGGTCTGCCGAATCATTTGGTTTAAAATCGTCATGGTATATCATTTGAATACTTATCTTTGGTAGGTCTAATCCGTATTATTACGTGCTCGATGTCCAACCCTTTTTTTCAACGTGATCTTAGAATCTAATTTTTAGGCCTTTTATGTAACTGTTTAAAATTTTATTAAGCTAATATAGGGCATGGAATAACCAACTTATTCGACCTACGTCATTAATCCCAGAAAAGGTGTTTATTATTCAGAATTAGTCTAGTTTATTTCTGTTTAAGACATAGAGCAAAATATTTTCAGAATTTTTTATAAACGACTTGTAAACGAATCTAAAGTTGCATGTCATTGCAATATTGTCAGTGATGCAGGTTAGAGGGGATGACTTGGAAAAGTCGTTCGTTAAGACGCAAAACCGAGATTATATGGATTACAGATTGCATGTAGGCTACATTATGATTCGTCGGCAATTTAGGACAATTCTACAGCCCTGGCAAAATTTCCGCAATTGCACACTGCACGATGTTGCCCGTCTGCAGATCTTAGGCCTAATGAACTTAACAATATGTCGCGTAAACCTCAAACAAATTCTCCGATAAAGTTTTCAAGTGGCAAGTGACAAATAAATTTATCTGAAGATTTCTTTTTAATATTTTTTAAATTAATGTTTATCAGAACATCCGGGTTCCGGAGTCTCCCAGATCAAAGAATAGTCCGAAACGTGCCGACTCTTCCATCCTGTGAAATACTCAAAGCTGATAACGAGCAAAATACCTCTTCAAGACTGGTAACTGACAAGTTTTTGGACTAAATCTCGTTGAGATAAAATGAACCGAGGACAGAAAGACTACTCATTCTGCACGAAGATTTGGTAGAGGCAGGGTAAGGTAAGTTAATGAGGGGATGGGGAAGGGGAATGTAGGGAGGTACAGTCGTCCATCATCAGATCCAATACCCTTTCCAGTGTTTCTATTCTTTGTCAGTTGGATATCCAAAAGGAGAAAATGACCCTCATTGCATACTTATATGGCCTTACATGCAGTGGCGGAGCCGGGTTTACGCTCGAGGGAGGGGGGGGGGGGGGAAGGGGGGGGGGCGAAAAACTTGCTCTCGAGGCTACGAGGAGGGGCGGCTGTCCCCTCTGCCCCTCTTTTGGCCCCACCACTGATTACATATCTTCATTAGCCTATTTAGAAAATGAAACATAAAATTCCATCGCATAAAGGATAACGATGCTTATATCACTTTAATGGCATAATTTTCCCTCATTGCTCACTGCATAGCGTTAAACATCACAAGGCCAATCATCCGATCAGAGAAAGAAAGACATATGTTTTGGATACACAATCCTCACCAGGACAGCTAGTTTTAGAAAAAATAAGGGCTAATTTTCCAACATTCGGCTTAAGGCGTGAGCGAGAATCTGCCCCTATGTTGGTGCCATTTTTTTTTATTAAATAATCGCCACCAGGCCCGTAGACTTTATTGAAAGGTGGGAAAATAATGTATCCGAATAGACAATGGTGTATGGTATTTAGTTGCAGTAATGGAATTGGTCGGTTGTCAGAATTTTTTCAGGGGGTATTGCCGCCTCCCCCCCCTCCCCCCCCTCTCCTTGCCCCCCTGTATAGCTACGGGCCATCACCACAATACATAATCCTTCAAGCATGTCCTGTTTGATTCTAGGATGTGTCGCCTTGATCTCATATTACTGGCCTGTTTGATTCTAGGATGTGTCGCCTTGATCTCATATTACTTGCCTGTTTGATTGGTCAGATTCAGACCAAGCAGGGTTTGGATGAAACCAGAGAGGCCAACACAAAAGGCTCTGATGTGGTACAAGCAGTTGTGGATCAGATTCGAGATAAATGTATTTTCTCCAATGATCGTCTTTTCCTTAGACGTTTGGCCGTTGTCCAATCAAATAACGGACTGGATTCAAGAACGTTCAGGAAGCATTTCTATGGAGGCATTTGGCAGGTAAACTTATATGTCTTTTCCTATTCTACGTAAATATCCTTGGTTGTCCCTGCAAGCCTTTAGTATTCAAAAGAATTCTTAGAACCCGGGTCCAATTCCCTAACTTTCAGAATTGTAGTACCCCACCTTTTTTACCTTTACACACCCCCTGTACAACCTGACCTTATTAACACATAAAAGGGGTCACAAACTTCAACCGAAATCCATAGGTTTTTACAATACATTAAATAACATTATAACATTCTTGTCGTTGATTATTATTTCAACTCGCTTTACCAAAGTTTTCTACGAGACGCTTCAGGTAACCTCAGCGGACTTGGGCTCAGTGACTTAGGTTTAACAACGTCACTTCCGGTTTGCTTTGGTCATGAATTGCGCCTATGCTAATGAATTAGTGTTTTCTTACCGAAAAGTTCTCGTCCAATTTATTTTTATTAGGTAGACGAACAGACAATGGAGGCTATATGAGTAAAACAACAATATCCATTGCTATACTTTCAGATAACTGAGCAGCAATATAACGACACACGTAACTGTCCTGGAAATTTATCTACAGTCTGTAATAACATACTGACCGAATTTGACATAATCTGGCAACAGACATCTTGGAAAGATTTACTAAAACCTCTGTATTCCGGCCTAGCAGCAACGCTTTATATCAAGCACCAATATCACCAGCAGATACCATCGGACCTGCCGTCTCAGGCCAGTATATGGCAACTGCTGTTTGCCGCGGGACAGAATTTAACCAAATACATCAAAATAAACGAGATAAAAAACAGTAAGTTCAGTATATTAAGGTTTTAGATTATTTTCCTTTGGACATCCTTTGTCAATCTTCTTCACCTTATTAAAGTATTAAGCCGTAACGCCAGCCATCTTAGCTGAATGGTGTAGTCTTTCTTAGGACAGTAGGGGTTTCCATATCAACAACTTATTCAGACCAACAGAATGTTACATAAAATTGGTAAGAACTATCGATCTTGAGAACATATGGCGTTTCTACGAGTAGGGGCCACAGTATTGTCAAGGGAGACACACAGCAACAGGCACAAAACAACAACGTCCCCACCCCTCCCCCACCAAGTTCCACTTCAGAAACGCTACTGATTGAATTCATCTTTGTGTTTTGTCTAATATGACGTCTGCTCGTTTCAGCCTGTGATGCAACCATCGACATCGTGTTCGTGATTGATAGCTCAGGAAGTATTATTGATGTCGATTTCCAGAAGACGATAGAGTTTATGGTGCAGATGGTGAACGGCTTACCAATAAGTAGTAATAAAATAAGAATCGGAGCGCTGCAGTTCAATACGTTTCCATATGTCCAATTCTATCTGAACGCCTTCCACGATAAGTCGGACCTGATTTCCGCCATTCGCGCCATTCGACGAAGTTCAGGCGGTACTCAAACTGATACAGCTCTGTTAAAAGCCGATCAAGAGTTGTTCAACCCAGCTCGTGGAATGAGGGACCAATCCAGTAAGGTTTTAATCCTAGTGACTGACGGAGCATCAAACAACAGACAAGCTACAATCCAAGCTGCCGAGGTCGTGAAGTCTCATGGAATCACATTGTTTGCCATTGGTGTTGGAGGTGCCATTTTGTTCGAACTGAACTCAGTGGCAACCACACCAATCTGTACCCATGTATTTACTCTCCAAGATTTTTCACAAATGGACACGATTTTAAATGAAATACAGGGACGAGCTTGTAGAGGTATGTACACCTACTTGCTTGGAAAACAGCATTTTAACAATCATAAAAGTTTTGTTATTGCCACGGAAATTGTCGTTGATTTCCGGATGTGTCAAGCTATCACGAACTGAACTTATATCACTGAATTTTGTAAATGGAGTGATTGTATGCTAGAGAATACAGCCAATCGTAGCCACGGATAACACACGCACGACATGACTCTGATTCGCTGGTTTTGCTTGCGTACAATCCAATCAAATCCTTGTTCATAATGTCCTAGATACAAAATCATTTTTTTTTAATGTTGAGATCGCCCGTGACTTAACCTTAATGGTAGATGTTCATAGCTTCAGAGGAGACTTCTATATTTTTCAGCCCACTATTTACTACAACCTACTAAGGATACTGGAGGTGATATCGTTAATATGACGGGGCCGATTTACACCTTTCAAAATAAAACTGAGAAGGTAGTTAAGGTATCGCCCATGGCAGGTACCAATATGAGTACATTAGTGGTTAGTATGGGGTTTATTACTTGACTATTGTACCACTCATACATCTTATTGGATTCCATCTTCAATGAAAAACTGTTACGATCTTCACCTTATACCTTGAGTGCTATAGCCACCTTTGAGTTTCTTGTAGACATTAGACGATGTTTATAATCGCTTGACATTGCAATTTTCGTGCAAAAGCTTATGTTTTAAAAAAAGCCATATGGCAAAATGTCCCTTATTGCATACCTCTTGGTGTTGCCTGGGTTGACTAGCACACCTTTTTTAAAACAGTACTAGGTGAAATTTTATTTTGTCATTTTGGCACACTTTGTCTTCCATACAGAATAATATACAGTGTAGCTAACAATTCAAGGAAATTATTATTACTTCCTTCTACGCGTAATTTCGGGATGGGGATTCCCAGTTTCAATATTATTTTTATTTTCATACAGATGGTAGCTCAAGAATAACTCTTTCACTATAGTCTCTATCACCCAGATTTGTCTTCTATAAGGAAAAGGGGCACTCGTACGAACTTGGGACTAGAATGCTGCTAGTTAACGGTCAACTCACGGAAACTAACGATCATTGGCGAAGGTTGAGCCGAATGGATAAAGGGAAACTGTGCGCAAATAAAATGGGTGAGAGACTAAATACACAGGATACGGCATTTCCCGTTTCACTTTGATTGTTACAAGGATTTTGGGAAATTTTGTGGCCCCTGCTCGCCCCCTCAATTAATGTGTCCTAGAAACGCTACTGGATTTAAACGTGGGACGGGCATTCAGGATGGTACAAAATCTTCAGTATAAAAAATTTCAATACAGTAAAAGCTTTCAAAATAAATTATTATATTCAAAAACATAACATGAAACACTAGACTATGAAAAAAATAAATGATAAATATAAGTAAAATTTTATCCAAAAAAAAAATTAAAAAGAAGATTAAGAATAAGAGGGAAAACTTTGTGAAATATGTTTTTTTTTCAGTAAAAGATCACTTTGAATTTTTTTATCCAATATGAATTAGTCAATCCAACAAGTTTTCAAGTGATTTCTGCATTTGTCAATGTTCTTAGGACTTAATTACAAAACCAGTTGAAGATAATAGACGAGTAATGATTAAAGATTGTTAAATAACAATAAATGGAATTAAGTTTTAGTATAATATGACAATACAATAGCTGAATTATGAACATATTCAAAGTTTTTTTGATTACCTAATCGTACGATGAGATGGCTAATATTTTGGTCATATTTCATCAAATCAAATAATTACTCAGACAAAATGTCTGGACGAAAGTATATCATACGGGTAGTATACAGCATCGTATCACGAATACGGGTTTTGACAAGGTCTTATTAACCCGTGTTAAACTAAGCCCACTATACATCGTTTTGTGGGCGTGGAAATGAGATTGCAGGGGCCATTTTGATTGGACAATATTTAATTGAATATGAATACGTATGACACGATGACAGTAGGCGTACAGTTTCCCTAAATGACTAACAAGCATATATATACATTTGTTTAGAATACTGTGAAAGGCAATTTCTAGGTTATATAGCCTATTAGGGCCATTGTAAAGCTAAATATACTTTATTAGGGTTTTTCTAAAAAGTTACGGGAATTCCCATTGAAAAATATATAGGAAAAATGTCCTTTTTACAATACATGTAATTCTCAATTTGTTCGGAACATATTCCGTTAAATCTGGAGTCTATATTCATAGTTTGAAATTTACAAAAACTACGCCTGGAAGGCCCTGAACCTGTCAAGCAACTTATCTAGACCACTATAACTCTGTAAAGGTATACTAACTCTAAGGATGACAACATAATTGAAATTCATCGGTGGACTTACCAAGTGTCATAACTATACAACAGAATCCCTCTATAATCTGATAAATCCATAAAGCAAAGTAATAATTCGTTAAAATAAGTAATTTGGAAACATGCTTAGAAGAGTGTTTCAATAATCATTTATCGTCTTTTATAGAGATTTTATTCTTTATTCATGGCACCAGGAAAGTCCAACTGTTGGATATATACATACAGGTGGTATCCTTTTAAAATTGGAACATAGACAAGTTTAAATTCTTGTTTTCAATCGGGATCCCTCTAAATTCTTCTTGACTGTCGCCTTCTCTATGCATCCCAATGGTATTCGCGCATCCATTGTACGGCAAGGTGTCACCCCCAAGAGTAATCAACAAACCTCCACTGGATCCGGGGCAAGTCTCGGCTGTATGGTACACAAACGACGGTTTTACGGGATCAGTAATCTCGACCGCTAGCAGCTTTCCCACTGAAATCATCTTAGGTCCTCCATGAGGATGGGCTATCACTACTGGTATGAAATCCCGGTTTCCCCGTGGCCAGGGGGCGGTTGTATTTAAAAGCGAGGACTCTTTGATCACCTGGGGTAAAGTAGATTCTTGAAGTTTGATAATCACCATCTTGTCGGTATTGTCGATATCGGTGGAATATACTCTTTCAGTCTTTACTGCTTGGAATTCGATTTCACATTTGACTACTGGCTTTCTTTGGCTTTCTTCGACGGTGGCCCATACGTACCACTCATTCCATTTTTTTAAAAGCATTCCGTAAGATTCGGAGATACTTTTGTCCTCAAGCGTTGCAAAAACCTTGACCCATGGAGCGATATCGTCGGATTTGGTGATATGCATTATTTTTGGCGGTACGGTGTCGATTGTAAAGACGCTTTTATCATGTAATCCTGAACAGGCGACTAACTGAACTCCTTTACTCGTCACCACTTGGCTCTGATCTTCACTGTCGTAGAAAAAATCAACCGTACAATTCACCACATCGGTTTGATTTTCAACGACATGATCGTTGGTTAAAACGAAATAGAATCCCAGTCCCTTATAGACTGCTCCTGAACCGTAACGAGCTTCCCTGTCAGGGGGCTTTACTGTCAGCCGTACCACTCGTATTCCAATATTTTTAATATACTCCAAAATTTCTGGTCGTCGCCACTGTTCGGGTATATTTTCCATTCTAAACCCGTTGAATTTAAAGAATCTAGCATGATTGGGATTTTTTGTACAAGTTTGTACCAAGGTTAAATCCGGTACTGCCTCTGTCGCTATTTCAACCTGCATGGTCAGTTCGAATTTCTCGAACAGATTAAAAATCCAACAATTTACAATACATATTCTATAAAAGTATCGTGTCCAATAGCTTGGTAGGTCTATAACTAGTATAAGTTATGTTTTCTGTGGTCAGACTGGACTCGAACAGAACAAAATATCGTTTCCAACTTGTTAGCAGAAGCACATACAAACAGTTTTCATTGCTCAGAATTAATTGACAGAACACAAACAAACGAACACGCTAGTTTGAATAATTGTGGTAACTGAATAAGCAAATCGAAACTGTGTCAGGCCTACTGTATATTAAGTTATTGATAAATAAGCCACGCCTTTCTTTTGATTTTTTTTATTATTTACAATTATGGGGGGCTATCTTTTCCAAAAATGAATATTTCGTCAGAATTGAAGATAACTGTCAAATGATGGGTATAGGCCTAAGGGTGGGGGTCTGCAAGTTTCTACCAAGCCGAATAGGCCTTACCACAGCATCATTATGTTGACATTGGTCAGCAAATTTTGGAAAATGAAGTCAATTTTGTAGTTCTGATTATTGAAACGTTCAATAGAATTAAGCGGATTTCGAACCACATGAAGGCCTAAAATAATAGGCTAACTTATACTATATAAACACACGCCAGCAAAGATAAGCATAGGAATTGGGGCGATGAAATAATTTGGCCTAACACTAGCAGACCGCTATATATTGAGGTAGTAAAAATATTAATGAAGGTATAGGATATATAGTCTTACTATATATTCAACTAATATAAAGTGCATGGACTGTTCGTGTTTATGTTTGAATCTGCCCCAAACTTTAGATTAAAAGTAGACCTAGTAGACTAACTAAGTTCTAAGCTTTTTCTTCTTTTTTAATATGTATTCTAATTTTTTCAGACTGAAGCCACCTGTTCTGTCGTGTACATCTACGCTTCTTTTGAATCGACACATCCTGGTAGCGCCTTGAACGAGTTTACAGATATCGCTGTGCACGGGAAGCCGTCTGTTCTCTCAATCATTGACGACAAGGGCAGACCACTCTATGTGACTTATGAAGGGAGAAAACTCAACCACAATAATACATGCTACAACGCCAGTTTTAAAACACTGTCTTTTAAAGGCAAACCCCCAGGTAAATATGGATTTAGATAATTCTAAACCTGCATTGTTGCTTTTCTTCCGATTTTCTGTATTTTGTGCGACTTCTATTTATCTGTTATTCATTTAAAAGAGCCTGATCCATGCTTGATTTAAACCATTCAATTGTATTTTAGTCTAAAATTAATGCCTATGTCACCCCGGCCATACCGACACCATCCATCTTGCCTCCTCCCCCTCTCCCACAGGCATTTTGTAGATACGCCCCTGTTTCTAAAGGGTCGGCCCATTCGGCAATTCTCGACAGTTTTCGTAAGGTGATATGTGGCAGAGCGCTAGCGTAACTGTTTGGGGTCAGCCGAATGTGGAAGTAAGAGAACATATAACTAATAATATCATTGTTATTCTTTAGGTGCTGATGTTATATGTAGAAGAAATGGAGTAGAGAAGGAATGCTCGAGGGTAGATCTTCAACTCAGTCAATATAATAAATATTTATGTCAAGGTGAGATATTGGTTGTTTTGGTTTTGGTTTTTTTTTTCGGGGATTTTTCCCTGTGTACGAGCACAGGCCCTTGAAGTTCTGTCAATATTAATAAAATATGAAAATTTTCTCCACATTGCCCATATTTTTTATTTATATTGAGGAAGATGAGTGTTGGTTCTTTGACTCAAGTAGGTTGGGCCTCTCCCCCTGGAAGGAGAATGCTCTACTGCATTCTGAGACTCTCCGGGTGTCAATTTAATGCCTATTAATATTTCTTGGGGTGAGGGCCCCCTTCAGGGTCCCTATGGTAGTTGAGCAACTGGCAAAGCTATGCTATCAGTGTCTCTGAAGGGTCGTTTACACGAGAGTAAATTCCCCTAATATATATATATACCAATAAAAAGTTAAGAATACTTCTTAACAATACTCTGAACTCAATTTTTTTCTTCAGAAAACTGGGAACATCTGAAGAACCCGTGTGAACCGCTGGCTGATTTGAACCAAAATTCCAACCTCTACCACCCCGTAGAGTCTGACTCAAAAAAATTCATACGGTGCGACTATCTTGGTAACATGTACGTCAACCAATGTCCGGAGGGACATACATATGATCCGGACACATATACCTGCGGTGATCAATCCCTTGCGGAAACTATGCCTGGACGGACACCTTTTCCGGACCATTTGAAGAATCCATGTTTGACCGCAGCAGACAAAACGGGCGTTCAATTCTTTGGTCACCCTACAGACAAAACGAAATTTGTACAATGTGATTTCACGAAGCATACGTGGGTAATGGGATGCCCCGACAAGCAGGTCTGGCAACAGATCGATAGAACCTGTACCGTGGACTTTGCATGGCATCCTACGTCCGCCCCCGTCACCCCAGATCCTAGTATTAAGAATCCCTGCACCACGGGTCAAGAGTTTTTCCCAATTCCACACAAGCCTGATCAATTTATACATTGTGCGAATGGGATCATGTACGTACAATCGTGTGCCCCGCACATGCATTATGATCGTGTTAAACATGTGTGCGGTACGGGAGAACCCATCGGTTAAAATTGGGTAATTTATGTGTGTAATGATAGTAAAATAAAGTCAAACACGAGACTCACCCCACTAACGTCAATATTTTTAATAATAATAATAATAATGTGACAAGATATAGATTGAACATGAACAATAATGATTGTAGAAAGAGTAATATCCCAATAAAAACCAAGGGTGGAAATTCTGTGTCCATGCATTAAAACAGCCCTAATTTAAATGAGCTCTTCCAAACATACTTAACATGACCGAATGCATGTTTGAAGAGTCCAAAATTTAACAGGTAGCAAATAATATCTTCAATTTAAAATGAGCTCTTCCAAACATGCATAACAGTTGTATCAAATTGGAAGAATGATCAAATGTATGTTGATGAAGTCCAAAATCTGACAGATAGTGACTACCTACCTATGTTGAAAATGAGCTCTTCTGCCTACTGCTATATCACAGATGCATGGCAGAGATCATTATTGTATACAGGGGTGTTAAAATGCACGGTACTCTAAAACCTACTAGGTCAGTGCTTTTTTACTCAGATTAAACATCTTCACAATGTCAAGCTATTATGACCTTAACATTGTGAAGATGAAGTTTGTAATAGCTTGACATAGTGAAGATGAAGTTTGTAATAGCTTGACATTGTGAAGATGAAGTTAGTAATAGCTTGACATTGTGAAGATGAAGTTTGTAATAGCTTGACATTGTGAAGATGAAGTTAGTAATAGCTTGACATTGTGAAGATGAAGTTAGTAATAGCTTGACATTGTGAAGATGAAGTTTGTAATAGCTTGACATTGTGAAGATGAAGTTTGTAATAGCTTGACATTGCGAAGATGGGTTATAAAGGGATATCACAATAACAAAGTTAGTTTTCTATTATTTTTAAAAACCTGATAAATTCAAATAAACTCTTATATTTATAACAAAATATAGAACTCTTATCAAGAGGGGGAATAAGGTCACAGGTCAAAGTTCAAACCTCAATTTACTGTCTTTTATCACCTGACCTGTATAGTCAAGCTGAAATATTTTTGCTCATCAAGGTACCTTCAAAACATAAACAGAACCAGACGACTTTTGAGGTAGTCTAAGTGGTAATCAACCTAATGTATATAGAGTGATTTAGAAATACCACTGTTAAAATAGTACTCAATACATCAATTGTAGAGTGATATAGAAATACTACTGTTAAAATAGTGCTCAATACATCAATTGTAGAGTGATATAGAAATACCACTGTTAAAATAGTACTCAATACATCAATTGTAGAGCGATATAGAAATACTACTGTTAAAATAGTGCTCAATACATCAATTGTAGAGCGATATAGAAATACTACTATTAAAATAGTGCTCAATACATCAATTGTAGAGCGATATAGAAATACTACTGTTAAAATAGTGCTCAATACATCAATTGTAGAGTGATATAGAAATACCACTGTTAAAATAGTACTCAATACATCAATTGTAGAGTGATATAGAAATACTACTGTTAAAATAGTACTCAATACATCAATTGTAGAGTGATATAGAAATACTACTGTTAAAATAGTACTCAATACATCAATTGTAGAGCGCTATAGAAATATTAAAACACATATTTTAGGTTTTGTTTTAATATTCAATTACTATGTATTCTACCTCAAAAATAAAAGTAGACAGCTTGTGTTTATGTTTTCAATCAGACCAGATGAGCAGAGCAAACCTTCGCTGGACTATAGTTTATTGAAGTAAGACATGTCACAGTTTTCAGTCTTTTAAATGAAATATCTAAATGCCTGTTTTGAGGTCCCCAAAAAGAGGTTAGTCATTCTAATAAAATCTTCACCATGTCAAACTATTACAAACTCTGTCTAAAACCTTGACATCATTAGGCACTTTGTAAAAGACCTGTGCATTTAAACTAGTTCTCATCTGCCATTGTAGACGCCATTTCTTTACTTGTGCTTTCTAACAAGTCATTTGATTGGCTATATATTCAACTCTCACAAGGGAGATAATTGTATATTTTAAAGATTGCCACCAGTTATCTCAAAACTAGTCAATGATCAACGAAGTTGGTAATAGGTTGACATTGTGAAGATGAAGTTTGTAATAACATGTCCTAATTATAAGATAGGGCAGCCATTTTCCCTTCTAAGATTAAGCTCTTGTATTCTTTCAATAAACAAACTCACTAACAACAAAATTAAAATTCCAAAAAAACACCATAAATAATCCAGGCCTTTTTGCATGAAGATAATGTTAACTCGCACAAACCAAAACTCAATTAAAATTTTGAAAAGTGCTTCAAAAAAGCTCAAATTGAGTTCTTTAAGTTGTTAAAGGAAATATAAAGACTACTGTATCCTGTGATTTATAACATCAAGGCCTGATGATCCATGTTCTTATTTCAAAATAATGGAATTCCTTAATCATTCAGCACTTTATTCTTGAACATCTAGTCACTCAGTAGTCTTGATCACAAAGTCTTCTTTAGTTTTCTCCAAACATAGTCTTGATCAATAGGTTAGAGACAATCTTTGAAATGCCCACCGAGGACGGATTGCGCTTTTCAAATATTTCATCAAGATTAAAAATTAAAGTGATGTCTACATTTCTTGGTTATAATTCAACTGCATGAAAATCGGTAATCCAATTTTTTAGCAATAACAGATAAACTTTTGTCGTGAAAAAGCAAAAATAATCTCCTTAAGACGAATTTACAGTCCAGCATTCTGAAGCTCAAATCAGACAAGACTGGCAAAAAAACAAAAATACAGTAAAGATGAAAAATCCAATGAAAGGCAGCTACTGTATAATGTATATTTAGCTTTGTTCTTGAACATCAAGTCACTTCCAGTTTCAAGTCTTGGACACTAAGTCTCTTAACATTTAAATACTCCAAGCATGTACACTAGATCATTCAACTCATAGTCTTGATCTTCTTAGTCTTTGAGCCAATAAGGTCTGGATAACCCAAACACTCATCAAATATGGACGTATTAACCATAGCACATTACGCATAAATTATCACGGGTCACATGACCTGCTACACGAGCATTTGCTTTTCGTCTAATTTTGTCCGTAGAGATTTTCTCACACTGGATTTAATGGTTCGACATTTTGGACAGGTATATTCATCAGGAATGTTCGCTTTGCGTATTTTTGCACATGACAAATGTATCCACACGGAGCAGTCATTACATTCTATCATCGGACGTCCAGAATACGGCTTCATACAAAAACACGAGATAAGATCCATAGAGTCTTCGTCTGAAATACAAAACAAAAATAATATATCAACTAACCTATATATAGACACAGTTATAGCCTCAGCCACGTCATGAGGACGATGGGGGAAACACGTCGAAACATTGCATAAAACTGTAACCAGTGATTGTTGTTCCATAAAGCTGTGTCTATATATCGTACTCACAATTACTAAATGCCATTCAAAGACTTAACCCTATATAAATAACTATATTTACACCCTAATTTTCTGCTCCTAGCTTACCATACAGAAAAATTTCCTTTTAGAGCTAATACAATGACGTTTTACAGAACAAAATATATTTACTATCAAAATGAACAAATAATTTCCATAGTCAATGAAATGAAATGGAATTTTCTGCTCCCAGCTTAATCGTACAGAAAAATTTCCTTCCAGAGCTAATGAAATAGAGTTTTACATCCTCAATTACTGCTCCTAAGTAGTTTAATTCAGATGGACAATGCCATGCAGTGTGCAATGAGGGAAAAAACAGCAGAATAATCCTACAGTTTCTCAACAAAAAAAGTATATAAATCCAACAAATCATAACTGGCTTATCTCATATTAACATCACGTTTTGGATGAATATCCTCATCAGTACAGATAGTTAAAAAAAAAGTCGCGCTAGGTGCTAGGAAAAAAAATGAAGAAAACAAAAGCCTACCATCATTATCGTAAGAATTATTTTCTTGTTCACTGGTGTAAGATAAATTAGAGGATTCAGATAAAAAACTATCAGCTGTTCCCGTACTACCTAGAGGACTTGAATTATACTCAGCTCTCAACTGAAAAATAACACAATTACTGTTTATCTTGTAATCATTTCTTGTTAAAAATACAACTCTTAATCATTGATTCTATCAACACTGGTGACCTACTACATAAAGATGGGTTCCCTCAGTTTCATTTATGAAAATGAAAATGCGAATACTTATGTGAATAGAAAGTAGAGGTGTTCTAATGACTTGAAAAAATACCAGTTTGTCTTACATGTCTATAATTAATTCATAGTTAGCTAAATTAGACGAGATTTACTGGAATTCCAATGAGTGACCGATCAAGAAAGGTCAGAAAGTCTTTTTTTGTTTATCCAGACTGTACATACATGGACATTTATGATTGGTTAAAACTCTTAATTATATGCAATAAGAACATAATGATATGATTAAGAATACATGATAATTCATAAGAAACACCAATCAATCAAATAGTTTGCTTAATTTGACACTAAAAAATAAGGAAACCCATCTTTAATACATGATATATGGGGTGGTCCAGAAGAAAAATGATCACAATCTTCATTTCTGGATTATCAATAAAAATCTTCCATCAAAGATACAGCCCTTTTTTAAGTTTTGGTAACTCTTTTGCGGAGTCTACCTACATAATGTTTCTAAGGTAAAGCTAATGAAATGCTTGTCTTACCTCGGCCGGTGATTGTGGGGTGGTCGGTGAATCATATTGTGTATATGATAACACCATGGTACAAAACTGTAAAAAATCGTCACTAGTCCTTTTTTTCTTCCTGTGAGGTGGCCCACTATTCATCTAAAATTTAAAAATCAACATTTTAACAAAATGTTTGACGTTCAACAATGAAGCCAGTGTCTTGAAAACAATTTAAATGAATGGAGTTGTACGTCCTAATTTTCTACACAAAGTGGGCTAATGAAAACGAAAACTGTGTATGTGTGGTTATGGTGATTTCATGGCAATAAGTTACTAATCAATAGAAAGCACTGACACAGGATTAAAACAGTGTAATGGAACTAATTGCTAGAATTTAGGGCTGCAACGATTCTTGAAGTTGTGATTCGATACGATACTCATCCAACGATACGATTTATCGCGGTTCATTTATTAGAGAAGGAAAGAGAAAAAATAGTAGAAATTTGTAGATGTAGATTATTGTTTATCATGGAAGTATTTGGGAAAACTTGTCCCAGAAATTGAAAAAAATTGCAATTTAAAAATAGCAGAACAAAATAGTAGGTAGGACTCATAAAAATCACTCATTCACAGCTTTGGTTCAAAACATGGTACAACCTGCCAAAGTGAACGAAATAGGTGTCAAAAACATAGGACCCCTGAATAACCCCTTGTACACAAAGGCTTTTTATTCATAATATACCTTATTGTTATTGTATGGACTGTCACACTTGAGTAATTACTATGTATACTCATATACTGAACCCGTTATACTCTGACCTTTGACACCAAAATGACGTCACAACATGTCCGTCCTCATTTCTGAATGAATTGTTGTACATATTCTGTCAAGTTTGGATTTAAAATGACGCTAACCTGTTGATTCGATTTTCTTAAAAATGATGCCAAATGTTAACAAAGTTCTGTGGATTATGAAAATATCAAAATTCACAAATTTTATGAACCGAATTCCCCAGAAAACATAAGTTTTCAAACAAAGGGATGACCAATCGACCATCCCATTTCTTTACGATGATATTTTAATTTTCCGATTTCCACTCAGAATTGAAACAGAATTGTAGCGAAAATTTACTTCAAACTTGTTTCAACAAAAAAATCTATGTCATTTTTATTTTGTGAAATTTACACAACCTGAAAATCCGGGTCAATCTACTCGAGTCAAGTCTTCCATTGAACAGACGACAAAGGCGAAGCAGGTCGCCATATTGGAAATCGAAAGAAAAACGACTAATGAAACTTATCTTTGAACGCGAATATCTCTAACGCAACTTTACGGATTTCAATGAAACTTTAAAACAAGTTTCCTTCATGGATTGGGAATTAAATGGCGAAGGAATTTTAAAAATTGATAGATTATAAGACGATTGAGGGTCATTTCGTTTCCATTCCCTGTCCCAATCAAAAATTTCATAAAAATCAAATGGTCCCCTGCCCTTCTTAAATTTCGAATCCATATCTCTGATTTCAATAAAATTTTCAAATATTTTGGAGGACATAACAAGGCTTCGATCTCATTAGAAAACCCCCCCAAAATCTTAAGAAATTGAAACAATCAAAAGAAACAAAGCAGGAGTGCCCCCTTTTTTTGAGAAGCCATTTTATCTAAGTGAAACTAAATCTAACCTCAACAAAACTTGATGCTGAAACTGTTCTCTTTCTTCGACTCGAATTTGGGGCTAAATTAAACAATAATGGATTATTAATTAAATACATTTCAACCTGAACAAAAAATTTAGATTTAGCTTGCTTGGCCTGAGCTAGCCTAGCGAATACCTAAATCTCTAAATGTGACAGTTCCAGATTGATAGAACAAGTTCATTCCGATCCCCATCTCAGCATCTGCTTCAGATCTAGTTAAAAATATAGGGCCCCAGGCCAAAGTTGAGTTCGAGCGCTCAAACACATAACATAATCCCAATGAATAAAGACTAGCCTAGATTTGACATCTAACTTTGCAAAAAAAGTGTTCGCATTTATTTGACCGATTTTCCATAAATTTAGCCCAGCCTAAATTCTACACTTTTTACAAAATAATTTTAAAGCAAAATACCTTTAAATTTTTCCTGAGTCATCCGTGAAGCCATTTCCATCATTTGTTTTTAAATATATTTGGCAAAGACGCCAAAATCCAGAGAAAACCTAAATACTACGTTTGTCCTCAAACCACAAGCCGTGAAAAATGTTTCAGAGTGGAAAATGACGACAAGGTCAGAGTTCACAGGTCATGAACTTACCTCATTTACATAATGACGTCATTATCTCAAGGTCATCTCACAAAATTAACCTACTTCCATTATTAGGTCAAAATTTGACCCAAATGCAGAAATTCTACCATTGGAAATCACTTCTACAAAATCAATGCATGATCGCACATTCATAAAAGTTCTAGAACAGTTGCAGAAATTGATAAAACATTCCATTTTCAACATCAACTTTCCACTTGCCATTGAACTACCGGACATTGTATTTGCTGTTTCGAGTATCAAGACGTAAACTAAAGTGTAAACACAGCAATGTCACTGGTTAATCAAGTCAAAAAAACCATTGAAAGAAACCAGTGTTGTCTGTAGTATCTTTTAAAATAAAGTTGTCGCCCGTTATTTGATCTACGCTTTTAAAGGGACAACTTCGGCATTCTTTAGTCTTAGAAACGGGATTTAGTTAATCTAATCAGTAATAGTATTCGCAACTCACCGTTTAAATTTTAGCCTTTAAATCCACGTATGTCCGAATTAGAATGTTAGAATGACGACACGTCAGTAATGACGAAGTGTCAATTGGAGAAAAGATGTACATGTATATAGAAATAGAAAGTGAAACTAGACCACACAGGCCTACGTTTAAAATCTCCTAGATTTTCCCTCGTTATACTGCTTGATTATTACAAATGATATTTCTTTATATATTAATACGTTGTGTAGGCTATCGAAAAACCTATCATAGATTTACAAAATACGTATGGACTTACTCCACTAATTCATTTGCCATCTCTTCTCATGTTAAAACACGAAATTCAATCTTCTACAACTTTTTCCAGAAATATCGTTGAAAGCTTTCCAAAATGTGGAATGAAATATGTGGCCTGACCAGTTCTCAATGTCTCCTAAAAAATTCATTATATGATGACCATGAAAATTTGGAGCTACTAAAATTGAAAGTAGACTACTACCGGTTATATTCATCCGCTAGAGTTTGACACTTCACAAAACGACTATTTTTAGAATTAGCCTTCCGCCTTTAGGTCTCTCATCATCTCACCAAATCTGAAAGATAATGCAATTTCAGACATCAAATTCCAAATCTAGACCAAAAATTACCCAAAAATATGCATGCAAAAACCCCAAAAGGGAGAGAGAAAGAAGATTTCTAAAAATAGGCCTGAGTCCGTGTCCGTATGGTTCTTATCCTCACAATGTCAAGTTATTACGAACTGCGTCTCATACCCTGACTGAAATAGCCGCTATTTTGGTCTAATGGAATGCAGTGATTTGATTGGATTGTAGCGAAAACAACCATTGAGAGGCCTCGACAGAGAGTCTGTAAACAATGTGACAAAG